TCCTGCTCCTCTCCCCCCTCCTTCTCCTCCCCCTCCTCCCTCCTTCTTCCTTCCCTCCTCCTCCTGTCTTTTCTAGGTGTCACTGAGAATCAACCCCAGGGGTTGCTCTACCCCTGAATGACACCCTCAGCTTCTCCTGTTCACTTTTTATTTTGAGTCAGGGTCTCTCTAAATCTCTCAGGCTGGCCTCCAACTTGTGATCCTCCCACTTCAGCCTCCTGAGAGTCTGGGGAGACAGGGGTACGCCACAGCGCCCCAGGTGGAGCTTTATCGGAGGTCTTGGGGATGGGATCCAGGGCTTGACACAGGCTAGGCCAACGCTCTGTCCCCGGGCTACACCCCCAGCCCTACACTCTGGATCTGAAATGTCCCTCAAAGTCCCACATGTCAAAGGTTTGGTCTCATGCAGCCACCAGGAAGTGACCTTTGGGAGGTCATTAGGCCATCAGGTGGGTCTTTAAAGGTGACTGCAGACCCCTGGTCTTCTCCTTACTCTCTTTGTACTTCTTGGTCGCTGAGAGATGCCATGATGTGCTGCCTCAGCCCACAACAAAGTCATCAGCTGAGCACGGGCTGGAACTTCCAAAACCAAGCCCAGACCAACCTTTTCTCTTAATAAGTTGATTGTTGCAGGCACTTCTTATAGTACCGAGAGCTGACTGATACATATTTTTTTAAAAATTTATTTGTTCTTTCTAGCCCTCCGTGACAGCAGAGTTCACCCCTACACGGGGTGAACTTCCCATTCTCCTGGTTGGACCTGCTGTGGAGTGTCCCTGGTCGTGTGTTCCTATGTGAACATGGGAAAGTGACGTCCCATTCATTCCACTGTCTTTCCCACTCCCCTCCCCTCCCTTCCCTCCATTCCCCTGCGTCTCATCCAATAAACTGCTATTCTTCCTCCCCCTATTTTCGGTCAGCATCTGAATATCAGAGAGAGCATTTGACCTTTGGTTTTTTGGGACTGGCTTATTTCACCTAGCGCGATCATCTCCAGCTCCATCCAGTTACCAGCAAATGCCATCATTTCATTCTTCTTTAAGGCTGAGTAATATTCCATTGTGTACATGTACCACATTTTCTATATCTGTCCATCTGTTGAAGGGCACTTAGGTTGGACAGCTTGGCTATTGTGAATTGAGCTGCTATAGACACTAACGTGGCCACGTCACTACAGGACGCTGATTTTATGACTGATACATGTTTAAGACCCTGGTGCAGCCCAGCCCACCTGGAATTCCCAGAACCTGGAGCTAATCCACAGGGTCGTTCCCAGCCATGGGCTGTGGCTTGTTCCGCAGCTGCCCGGCCAAGGAACCACCCGCTCCCATGCTCCAAGGTGACCCACCTGGATCTTGTCACACCAGCCAGCGAAGTAGCGGAAGGTCTGTATAGACATGCCCACGTGGGTCTTCAGGGCCAGCGTGTACACGGCGCCGGCGTCCAGGGCCTCGATGGTGGCCAGCTCTTCCTGATGCTGCTCCATGAGATCGGCCAGTCTGGCCAAAGATAAGGGAGATCTGGGCCCTGCACGGATGCCCCCGGGCACCAACCTGGCCCTTGTCCTCCCCTCTCTGTATGTCTGCACCGTGTGTCGGGGAAGTCAGCTCCCCTGCCTTGGGAGCCATGCACTGAACCAGGGGACAGTCACTTCTCTGGAAGGTCCTTCCCCTCCCCCTCCTGGGACATCACCTCCCACCTTCTCTCGCTGAGCTTCAGGGGCCAGCCAGGGACACGTCCCATTAGAGGCAATTGGGAATTTGCACAGAGCAGGAACGGGTCACTAGGGCACTAGTGACAGATGTCTGTCCCCCCCACAGGGTCTCCACTTGGACCAGCCTGGAACACCACCCTGTGTCACTGGAAGGGTGTTATTATGATACAGGCCACCAGATGGCAGCAGAGCCTCTTCAGTCACTGGGGGTTGTTATTAAGACACCGGCCACCAGATGGCAGCAGAGCGTCATGGGAAGGACCCTCCCCATGGCAGGGTCACTGGAGGCTCCCAGGGCCACCTGGGTGTCCAGGGCTCACAGTTCTGCCTGATCCCAGCTCTGGGGGGCATCTGTCACTCGCCAGTGCCTCCTTACAACCATGGAGTCTCCAAGGGTTCTGGGGACTTCGCCTGGAGCACACCTGACCTGCTGTCCACACTGCGATCCTCCTGCCTCAGCCTCCCCAAGCCCTTGGGATGACAGGCGTGGCCACTGTGCCCGGCTCCAAGGAGTCTTTTCTGAGCCTCAGGCTGGGCGCTCCCAGCCGGGTCAGTCTGACCGCTTTGGTCCCATGACCTCCCCAGAGTCCAGGATCCCAGGAACAGAGGCCTGGGTAGGAGGACCTGCCCCCAAGCTGGAGGGGCGCCGGACACTCACCTGTACAGGAGCCGGCCACGGTCCCGCGCGCTGATCTTCCCCCACCGCCCGTTCTCAAAGGCATCCTTGGCCGCAGCCACTGCCTTATCCACGTCGCTGACCTGGGCCAGGGACACCTGGCAGATGACCTGTGGGGGAAGAGAGTGTGAGTCCTCCCTGGGCGCAGGATGCCCAGACACCGCCACAGTCCTTGGACTTCCCTGAAGCAGGACGCCCGGCCACCTGGGCAGGCTCAGAGGGACGCCGGGCCAAAGTGGGCCTGGACGGTGTCTGCATGAAGAGAAGGTTCTGGAAAGCCTGTCGCTACTCCCAGAGGTCACGTCTCACCCAGGGGCCAGAGAGTCACCCACAGCGGTGAGGCTTGAGGGGAGATGAGCGTCCACAGCAAGAGCCGAGACCCAGTCATTCCAAGACCAGCCAGGAAGAATTTCTGAAGCGGACCACAGGGGACATCGGAGGCCCTTTGCCAGCCCCTGGATCCCCAGCTACTTCCTCTGTCCCCTGTCCCCGCCTTGACCGTTTTATGTTTTCTATTTTGGTCCCAGGGATTCTTAACCCCTGAGCCCCTTCCCCAGCCCTTTTT